ATTTTCATTGCTTAAATTTAAAAAAGGACTGCCAAAATAACGAGAAAGGAGATTGCAGCAGTTAGAACATTTATCTGGGGGAAAAGAAACAAAGAAAAAAATAAAAGCAGAAGAAAGAAGAGTGCTGGGAGCTTCACAAGATTATTTGTGCTGTGCTGCACCAGCAAATCCTCCAGCCTTGTACACAGTGACTCAGGTCCTCTCCTCCTTTTGCTGAGCATCTTCCAGATTATGGAGAATCCTAAAGCCTTTGAAGTCACCTGAACAACAGAACCACCTAAATCCTGTTGTAATGTTGGCTACAGGAACAGTAGAGCTTGGTTTGTTCCAAGTGTCCAGTCCCAGTATCACCCTTGAAAGTGAGTGTCACAATGTATATTTTTTTTTCATTATTCTTACTATTCTTTACTTTCAATCAGGCAGCAATTGATTCTGAGGGAAGGAAATACATTAATAACTCTGCCATGCTCAGATGGTGTGGGAAAAGGATTTTTAGATACACTGAAAAGGGTCTTTCTTTTCCTTGTTGCTTTAGTGTTTGGCAGAGAGGATGCCCAACCAAGGAGCAGCTCTGGCCAGCTGTGCCAGCTGTCACACAGCTTCACAAAATTCCCTCCAAAAAAGCAGCAGAAATGATATTAAAAAGTTGCTCCAATGTAATGTCACCACTAACTTGGATTGTGTTTCCAATTCACTCAATTCAATTTGCTTTCTAATCCAGTTGTACTCCAAAAAAACCATTTAAGCACATTAATTAATGCTCTGAAGGAGCAAGTGCTCGAGCATCCCGTGGATTTGCTGAGTTCCCACTGTGAAAGTTGGTCTGTGTTTTTACTGCAAAAGGTAAAATGTGCAGAACCATGGGGATGCACTTCCTTTTCCACAAACTCATCATATTTTATAACATTGTTTTGTCACACACTGTCGATGTGTGTCTCTGCTCCTGCAGAATGATACAGACAAAATTATAGATACACCTGATTTACAGGGGAAAAGCTTTATTCAAATAATTGAAAATGAAACACAATTTAGCCCAGGGTATGATATACTTAAGGATCTTTGCTATTCCTTTTAAAAAGTTGAAATAAATTATCCTTGCTTATCAACAAACCTTTTCCTTTTTTCCTTTGGTGGCAGAAATACAGCTATGAAAAGGAACTAACATTTTAGTATTTATGGTATTTCTGCTATATTTTAGGGGGGTTTTTTGCTTTTTTCTCAGTAAAGCAGTCCTCTTCTCACAGGTTTATTATTTTGAAGGAGTTTTCATTGGCCTGAATTAGGAAAAAAGGGCTTGCAAGGGAAGCCTTTGAGGAGATTGGGATGGATTAAGAGGGAACACCAACAAGAGGTTATGCTATTTGACAACCTTCTAATAAATCCAATTTATTACAAATATGGAATTAAGTCATGTTGCCGAAGTGGGCTCTTCTCTGGATTGAATTTGTCTTTTACTAAGGGTAAAAATAAGGTGGAACCAGGGGGGGTCGGGCTCTGCTCTCAGGGAACAAGGGACAGGAGGAGAGGGAACAGCCTCAGGCTGTGCCAGGGGAGGCTCAGGTTGGACATCAGGAGGAATTTCCTCCTGGAAAGGGTGGTGAGGCCTTGGCAGGGGCTGCCCAGGGAGGTTTGGAGTGCCCAGCCCTGGAGGTGTCCCAGGAAGGCCTGGCCGTGGCACTCAGTGCTCTGGGCTGGGGACAAGGTGGGCATCGGGCAGAGGGGGGATCCATGGGCTGGGAGGGCTTTTCCAACCTCAGGGATTCTGGGATTCTGGGATATGTTTGGTTTGGGTTTTTTTTACCAGGGACAGCACCCAGGGAATGGCTGGAGCTGTGTCAGGGCAGGGTCAGGTTGGATCTCAGGGAAAGGTTCTTCCCCCAGAGGGTGGTTGGGCACTGCCCAGGCTCCCCAGGGCAGTGGGCACAGCCCCAAGGCTGCCAGAGCTCCAGGAGGGTTTGGCTGATCCTCTGGGGCACAGGGGGTGACTCTTGGGTATGGTCTGTGCAGGGCTGAGGGTTGGACTCGATGATCCTTGTGGGTCCCTTCCAGCTCAGCATGTTCTGGGATTCTGGGATTCTGTGAACCATCATTGCCCACTTGTGTACCAATACTAACTGTTGTCATGTGTCATGATCAACACTATTTTTCCACCAGTATTTTAGATGTATATATGAATTTTACTTAAACTTTCTCTTGACCCTCCTTATTGGGAAGCTTTCTTACAACAGATTTAACACAAAAGATCATTTCACCTTTTCCCCCCTCTAAATTATTCTTCTAAACATTCTGCTTTCATTGGGACAGAACTAACAGAGGAGCTGGAAAGTGATGGGGATTTGTTTAGACTGTGATTTATTTTAATTATCTTCATTTTCTGCTTAAGCACAGATACTAAAAAAAAAAAGAAACATTAACATAAAACATTCCTAACGTAAAACAGCTTATTCCTCTGCATGGAGAAGACATGTTTTACTTTTAATTCTAATACAGCAAGTTCATCTCTCAGAGTGTGCAGGAACAGATGACATTAATAGTATTTTCAGCTCAGACTGAGCTGGTTTGGTCTATTACTGTTCAGTGTCCGTGCCTTATCCAGCAGCAGTAGGATGAACTTTCCCTGCCACTAATGCTCCATTTTTGTCTCTTTGTGTCGTTATTTCAGCAAGAGAATGTGCTAAAGGAGCCCCTGAAAACAGACGTACAACAGCAGATGAAAAAGTGCTGCATGGTGCTGGATTTCTGTGGGCAGCTGGTTTTATACCTTTTAAATGGCTCTTTGTGTTTGCCAGAACAGCACAATAGTCAATTCACTCCTCAATAACAAGCTGCTGCTCTGGGTAAATAGAAAGGTGTTACATCTATTTCTCTCTATATAACAGAGGCTTTCTAGTTCATCCATTAGTTTCACACTAATTTAGATTAAAATCTACAGAAGTGAAGGAAAAAACGTCCAAACTAAGTTGTGTACAAGCACTAAAAATAGAAAAAACTGAAGAGACAATCCCTGCTCGTAGAACATGGAACAGTTTGCAGTTGTTTGGTTGTTTGTGCCCTTGGGGTTTGGTTTGGGTTTTTTTCTTAATTGAATTACTTTCTATAGTTATCCTATCCCGAAAAGTGATCTTTCAGGATCACTTTTCCTTGAATATGCTTTAATATTATGCACTTACATATAGTCATAGAATGACAGAATAGTTTGGATTGCAAGGGACCTCAAAGATCGTCTGGTTCCAACCCCTCTGGTTGACTCCTGAACCTTTACTCATATCAAGTAGCATTTCATGCCTTATGTTACTCCCTCAAGTACAAAATCACAGGGAAAGACATAATTTAACATTCCTAGGAAAATTAGAATGTGACCCTGAATAAAGTGCTACTCACTGTGATGGAACTGGGCAAGTCTTGAACAACCCCAAGCACACAGAAATTAATGTTTCCCCTTGACCTGAAACAGGTCCTGTGAAAATGTTGTGAGCCTGCACTGCTGGGAGTTCACTGCTGCAACCTTGTACAGAAATGCAGAATCCCAGAATCATTTGGAAAAGGCCTCCAAGGTCATCAAGTCCAACCTTTGACTGAGTCCCACCATGGTCACTAAACCAGCTTGCAGAGTGCTCGAGTTTTGAGCCCCTCCAGAGATGGGGACTCCACCACTTCCCTGGGCACCTCTTTCCACTACTTAACTACTCCTTCCAGGGAAGAAATTTTTCCAAATATCCAACCTGAAGGCCCTCATCAGTGCCATGGGCTGGGTCACAAGGTAGGGTTGGATCAAAGGTTGGAATCGATGACCTCAGAGGTCTTTTCCAACTTGGTGGATTCTGTGAATGTGATTCTGTGACGTGAGAAGCACTTCAAAAAGAAAGGAAAATTGGGTGATGCCTTTTGTGGATGATGACTGGAAAGCAAATTCCTTGGTGATAAGAGGTTGCAACCCAGTGAAGGGAAAAAACTAGAGGAAGGACTGTGGGAGGCAGGAGGGTAACAAGATATGGTTCAGAGGGACATAGTCCTGATGGTCTCCACTCCAGCAACTCTTCTGAAGTCCCCCCTTGTGCTGCTGGTCAGCAACTTGCTTTTCACATCTCTCTGTGAAGCCTCAGTTTGGCTATACTAACACTGAACTGGGATTAAATTGTTAATTCTTCCACAATGCTGGCTAGAGTGTCACAAAATGCAGAGAAAATATGAACTGTGCAGCAGTAGGATGTTTGCATATTTCTGCTCATACTTTTATTTGATTTTTTAAAAATTTAAATAATATTTTGATGGATTTCTTGCTTCCTCCTTGTATCTGCCCCCCCCCAGATTTTGGATACATCTGTAACCCATGGGGAATGTGGTGGATTGGAGTCTAGACCATTTTCAGTGTAGTAAGAGGTATTTTGTTTGCACTAGTTATGACCAGCTAAGGATATGCATGCCATGGTGTCTGCTTCCTTCTTCCTCAGGATATATGGAAACTGGGATGGAAAACCCACTGCCCAATCTCCAGGTCTGGCCAGGAACCAGGACTAGAAAACACTCCTAATTTGTCACCTTCCTTGAGAACATCCCTGAACTCAGGGGGAAGAAACATGAGAGGGTTGGACGGGCCTGAGAGCTGGCACATGAGGGGTTAGGTTTGATGCCAGCCCATGGCACAGAGTGTGGGAAACACACAATGCCATGGAAGGGCTGGAATTCCTGCCAAAGGATGCCACAGTTGCACGAGGGCTCAGGAGGAAGCTGAGCCAAGTAACAGATGAAACGTCACAGGAGCAGAGAATGGTTTGGGTTGGAAGGGACCTTAAAGGTCATCTAGGTCCAACCTCTCGGGGAAATATCCATTTTGGATAAAACACATCAAGCTCAGGAGATTTCCAAGCCCTAAATCAGTGCCAGGTTGAGGATTGGTCCAGGCTATATAGTTCAACTTGGAATCATGTCCACTGGACCATTCCTTACAGATTTTATCTCAGCTCTTGGTCACCATTTATGTGTCATGAGCAAGTGGTTTCCATGGCAAGGGTGAGAAAGGAGTCAAACATCAGCCCCAAGGTCACCTCTCGTGGTTTCCTGTGGTGTGAGTTAGAAAACAAAGTGAAAAGTCCTTTTTTTTTCAAACTTTTCAAGAACTTTTAGGATTAATATACTCCCTGAATGAGACTAATGCATTTTTAAACAACATTCAATAGAACTGGCTTTGGCTTAGAAATACAAATATGTTTTGTGTAATTAAAATTTGTCCAAATACCTTTAATTGCTTTCTTTGATCTAAATAAATAAGTGTTTGTTTAAATCATGTAGAAACTATTAATTTTGCATTTCGGGTAATTAAAACTTGCTTATGTGAAGCTCTGCTGATCTGACACACACTGGACAAAGGTAAAAACCTGCTTAATACACCAAAACATGTGAGATTCTTTTTATTCTCTGCTTCACCTAGATTTTAATGGGGATCTTAGCACTAATACAAATGAAATAGAATATTTACCTATTCCAGTAGAAAGGTGAAGAATAAACCAATAGACATGGGCATATTTTCTATAATAAGAGGCCTTTTCAAGTCTTTCAGTAAAACTCTGGGGTTGCATTATTTTTTATCTAGTAATAATAAAGCATACAATAAAAATTATAGTGTAATCTTTGATCTTCATGAACCTGAAAAGCTCAGTTTTGCTTAATGTCCTCATAAGTTTTTTTAATCTAGAAATTGCAGGCACAAACAATGGCAAACAAAAATAAGCTGTAATTTAATATGTCTTGTAGGTCAACCCTCCACCAGAACTACTGGAATCAATATTCCAAGGAAGGGAAATTGGTAGCAGGTATTGATGCTGGTTTGTTCTCTAAAATAGAGAGGAAGAAATATGTGGAAAAGACCTTTCTGTGACATTACATCATTTTCACATCTGAATTTTTCTGCTTAACTTAACATTTTATTTGAAGATAAAGTGTAAAAGTGATGAAGACAATCCAAGTGAAATAGCACTTAGGGTTGTTACATAAATTTTATTGCTGGAAGGAGAAAGACCCTCAAATTTGTAAATAATTGCAGCTCCTTTGACAGTCCCTGATTGTTCCTGAATAGTTTATAGGGATTAAGAAGTGATTTGTCTTGCTTCCACTGAAAGTGCTTTGCAGCCATGAATAGGTTTTATCACCTTTTCCTGATAGGTTTGAGCAGTTTCATGAATTTACTCTCTTTCTTTTGCTTTGCTCACTGTTTTTTAACTCTACTTACTTGGAAAGAAAGTTGATAAATAACAGAATCATGGAATGGTTTGGATTGGAAGGGACCTTAAAGCTCATCTCATTCCACCCTCCTGCCATGGGCAGGGACACCTTCCACTAGACCAGGATGCTCCTGGCCTTGGACAGTTCCAGGGATGGGAAGTCCACAATGGGACAAATAAATATTCCTGCTAGATATGTTTGCAGAATTTTGAAATATTAGCATTTAAACATTGGTCACCAAAACCTCCCCAAACCTAATTAACCCTTAACATCATTGTTATAAAAAAAACTTCTCAATCTTCTGATTTAAGCCAGGACTTTCACTATAAATTTTTCCTTCCCTCTCACAGCACCTGAGAACTTCTCTCTGTGCACAGGAGTGTCTTTTGGCAATTCTATGTTCCCTTCCTGCACAGGGTAAAACACATCCCAGACCTGTGCAGACCCCACTGAACAACTCTCTTCCATGTATGGGGAAAGGAAATAAAGGCCAGATTCCACACAGCTGGAATAAAAAGAATTCCAGTTCATTTCAGTGGGATGTAAATATAGAATTATTCTCTAATTATCTAAGGGGGCATTGATTAATTACTGAAAGAACTCCTGCCACCATTACACACAGAGTGAGTGGAGGGGCATCACCCTTTTTTCCTGCTCCCCCAAACTCATCTGAGAGGGAATAACCAGCAGGATGAGGAAGGAATGGGCTTCCAGTGTGATGTAATCATGATGTGGGAAATTTTTCCTCTCAGGTACAGATGATTAGATGGTTTCTGTTCTGTATTTGAGGTAGGAGTAATTTTAAGTGCAGAGATCCCAGCAATCTAAACAAGCAAACGCCCACAAGAAATAGTCTGAAATATTCTGGAGCTGAGTCTTAATTGATTCTCACAGGTGAACATGTTTTGCAATAATACTTATGTGTATAAATCATGCAATATTCTGGTTTCTATAATCTCTACAGCACAATAACTGCACTCCAGTTACTTCATTCACCTTGCTCTGCTTGTTCCAGTAAATAATGTCGTCCTCTCAGTTGGAAAAGAGTGGGGTTAAAATAACTCAAAAACCTTTCTATTCTTGTAAATTAAAATTAATTCTACATTGCAACTAAATGTATTAATGACTGTTTATACATTTTTCACTTTCAGTTTCCTTTATTGATATTCCAACCCTCTAGAAGGGCAGACTTTACTCATCTTTATGATTTATTGATATACATTAGTTCCCTACAGCCTTGGACCAGACATTCACCACATTAATTGTGATGACTAAATGTTTATTTTTCAAAAAAAACACTGTAACAACTAGAATTTCTGAGAGCTCCAGAGCTGTCAAGGCTTTTAAAGCATTTTGCACTAAATAATAATAAATAAATTTTTACCCCCATAAGTTCAGATTTGGCTGCCTCCAGAAAGAAGTGCCAGACTTGCCTGCCCATTGTTTCTATAGCAGCAAAATGTGTGAATAATGGCTCAGCAGCACATCCTAAGGAGAAGCAACTTCAGTTATCTCAAAGAGAAATGAGAGATTGTACAGTAGTGCAGGTTGGAGAACACAGAGAACTTCATGAGATTTGTTGGCAAGAAATCCCAAAGTGATGGATGTGCTGGGATGAACCACGAGATGTTTTGCAGGTGTACCCACTCCTTAACTGATGTCATTCCTAAATTTCACATGGAAGTTTCATTGATTTAATGGTTTGTGGACCAGCAGCTCTCACCCTTGAAAGAACATCTGTTGTCAAACTGCTCGTATTTTTACACTCACTTTGGTGCTCATTTCATTGTAATTCTCTCCACTTACCAGATTTGAGGGAATTACTGTAATGGAAGCATTGGACGCTCACAGATGCTTTCATCAAATTATTTAAAACATCCCCATGCTTTTAGCTTGCAAGGGTTATTATCAGGCATTTTATAGCTTTTTAGGAGAAAAGGCTTGCTGCTCCACCTAACAAAATGTTGCACATCCAGGGGTTTTCCCACATCAAATGTTGCTTTGAAAACTACTTTGATCACAGAATCCCAGAACGCTTTGGGTTGGAAGTGACCTTAAAGAGCACCCAGTTTCAGCCCCCTGCCATGGGCAGGGACACCTTCCACTAGACTGAAAGGAGAATAACATCACAGAATCATGGAATAGTTAAAGTTGGAAAAGAAACCTGGAGGTTGTCTAGTCCAACACCCCTTCCTTAAAGCCACATCAAATAAAGTCCTCTGCTGGACTCCCCCTGGTGAGTCCGTGTCCCTCTCATCTCCAGAGTCCAGCACTGGACACATCACTCCAAGTGTGTCTTCTGCTGCTGTGGAAAGTGGAAAGAACCCTTTCCTTGACTACTGTCTGTGCTTTTCCAAACGTAGCCCAGAGGACTGTTGGCTGCCTTTGGGCACATTGCTGGCCCATGTTTAGTTTTGGTGTTCACCGGGACCCCCAGGCCCTTCTCCACGAAGTACTTCCAGCCATGTGGGCCCAGCATGGACTAGAGCATGCATTTATTCCTCCCCAGTGGCAGAACTTTGCCTTTCTCTCTGTTGAATTCCATGAGGTTCCTACTGGAATTCCTGCAAACATGAGGAGCTCATCTACTTCTTCCCAATCCAGTGGTCTGTAGCAGTGTCACCACAATCATGGAATCAGAGAATCACAGAATAACAGAGTGGTTTGGGTTGGAAAGGATCTTTAAAACCCATCCAGTGCCACCCCCTGCCATGGGCAGGGACACCTCCCACTAGCCCAGGTTGCTCCAAGCCCCATCCAACCTGGCCTTGGACATTTAACATTGCCCACATTGGTCTGTCCTCTCCTCCTGACTCTGAGCTGGCTCATCCCCTGCTCCAAGGCACAGATCCAGGCTTTCCCCTGCCCTCCTGCTCTGCCCTTCCCCACAGACCTTTTCCTATCCAGTGCAGTGCTCCCACCACACTTGGATTTTCCCAAGGAGTTTGTAGTCCTATAACTGCACCCAGACCTCCAACTTCTCCTCTTTGCTCCTCATGCTGCAAGTGCAGGCCCCTCAGAGGAGCAGGGAGTCTCTCATCTCCCAGTTCTGAGTTTCAAGGTCTCCTTTCCAGGTGGGCCAAGCTTTTGGCGAAGATGTCTCTGTCCCACTTTGTCAGGTGGATCCTGTCTCTCACGTGCACTTCTCAGTCTTCAAAGATTGCTGCATGGTCATAGAAACCAGAACAGTTTCCACCAGAACTGACCTCCAGAGCTGTCCAGTGACCCCTCAGGCACATTCCTCTTGCTCTCAGGATCAGAGACACACCACCGTGTTCTTGACCATCACCTCATACTCCAATCAAGAAAATTTCAGTTCAGTTGAAAATAAAAAACTTCTATTTAACGATTTTGAGACCTCATCACCCACTTCTATTTGTTTTTTTCCCCCAAGTGCATCGTGATTTAGGTTTTTATGTGGCAGATGGAGGTGGATTTGAAGTTCCTCTCCATAAAAGGTCAGAGAGTTCTTCAAAGTGTGGTTTAAGTGGCATCCCCCAGCTGAGGGATAGATCTGTGCCAGCCAAAACCTTGAAAGTACTAAACTTTTAACTAAGAAATGTTCTCATATTTCACTGGATGAGCAGATGGATGTGAATCAGAAGAAAATTTATGCATGCTGAAAGACTAAATAGATTTCCTGAAGGAATATCAGGGGTATGTTAATAAACTTCAGAGTGTATTGGAAAGACTTGCCAAGATAAATGAATCTGAGTTCTTTTTAAAAACAAAGGGTGAAAAATTACGGGTATGTCTTCCTTCAGAAAATAATAAAAAAAAGACAAATAAATTAAGGACATGATAAATTTCAAGCACTATAACTTTTAATTTTTACTCCAAAATTTTCTAAAGCCCTTAAGAGCTTTGCTTGGGTTCAACACAGTTACACCATGGCAGAGTTCACACGGGTACGTGCCACATTCCCACAAACTCCCAGCTGTGTTTTTTGCTCATATGGAATTAGCTCACATCTGCTCTCAGTTTTAATAGCTGATCTAATGCTTAGTTCTAGAATTAAGAGTTCTATGGGCACACAGCAGTAATGTCTATCAAACGAAAGCTGAAAGAAACTGTTCTGTGCAATTATATTGTATTAAATTAATCTGAAGAAGAAAGGAGGAAACACATTGGAAAATTACGATTTCCAGGGACAGTTATAATTTTCTGGCTTTGAGTTTAATGAGGTCAATAACATAACACAGAACAGGTAATAACCTCACACTTTGGGAGGTGCTATTTTTTTTTTTTTCAGCTCATTAGCAAAGTAGGAATTAGCTGTTCCTCAGTTCTTGTCCTGACCTGTTGAGCTGTGTGTCTGTGGATAACAATCGTTTGATGCATTTCCAAAATGGGTAAAATTAGGCTCAAGTGTGTTCCCTAATGCTGCCAAGTGTTTTAGAAGTCACCTGAAGGTGGAAATGGCCTTGCAAGGTGAGAACCCTGGACCCTTCCAGCCTGATCCATCCTGGGACTCTGGGATTCTGTGTTTGGCCCTGGTGACATCACCTCAGGACTGTGGTGTCTAGGACTGGGCATGAAGAGATGCTGAGTGAGCTGGGACTGTTCAGCCTTGAGAAAGAGAAGTTTGAGGGGATCTTGTCCCTCCCTTTTTGTGTATAAAGACTCAAAGAAAAGCTGTAAGGGAGATAGAGATTTGTTCTGACCGTGGTGTCCAATGGCTGTGGGTCCAAAGTGAAATAAAAGAAACTCCATTTAAACAAAAGAAATGATTGTTGTTATCTGTTACCATGAAAAGAACCAGCTGGCACAGGTTACCTAGAGAGGCATTCACCATTCACATATCCCGGAATCATACATTCATGGAATCTTAAAGGTTGGAAAAGACCTGAGAGATCATCACCATCCCCACTAAAATATAGCACAAAATGCCACATCTGCTTGTTTTTTGAACACTTTCAGGGATTGTGACTCCCATCAGCCTGAGCCAATTCCAATTTAATCTTTGTTTTTTCATGGACAATCCTCTAAATTTCCCTATAATTAGTTTATAAAGTGCTATACTTGGGAATGCTCAAATGCTCTATATCCAGTGCTGGAGCAGAGGAATCACCTTAAGAAACATTAGTCTTAAGATTAAGAGTAAGTAACTGTAAGAGCATTTTTTCAGACAAATGTATGGCAATTCCAGTCCCTCCAACATCTGTCTGTTTGAATACACAGGAACAGATCCAGCTGCTCTTCTCCAAGCAAGGAGAGTACTTGTAGTGCAAGTATTTCATGGAGTGAATGGAGAGGGAACAAGTGTGATTAATAACAAACTACTGTTAATTAGCAGCCTCTCTTGTGCTCTATGCCAGAGGGTCTGGTAGTAGAAATGACTGATTCCCTACAGTGCCAGATAAACACAAGTTCATTATCCTTAATTTTCAAATTTTTTTACAATTTCCCTTTAGACAAGAACTGGGTTGGCATCTGACATTGAAGACTTTCCAAGTTCATAGGTGTTTTCTCATTTCACATAATAGCAGGATTCTAATTATTTAGTAGGATTCCTGGTTATTGTAATTATTCAATATAATGTATTATTTTAATATAAAATATTATTTAATAGGAGCATTTCTGATTAGTTTCACATCCAGGTGAGTTTACAGGATGATGTAACAAAGGAATAAAAAATATTGCTTAATATGTCATGATGGGTGTGAGGTTTTAAGAACAAATCACAGAGTGCTTCATCCATCCTTTGTGTGTTTGTGTTGGTTGGGATTTGGTCGGGTTTTTGGAGGGGAAGAGGAGTGGGTTTTGTGGAACTGTGCCTGCATCTGCTGCAAAGAGCATTTCAAAACTCACGTGGCATTTTTCTGCGTATCTTGTCCCAGCACTGTGCCATAAATATCTCCTCAAATCTGACTCAGGTTATAATGCTGCAATTTCCAAGTGCAGACAGAACTTGCCATCAGCTTTCAGCTCGCTGGAAACTGCCGTGATCTTTGGCTGCACTGATAAGCTGCTGCTGTATTTGTGCACTTCCAGGTCCCTGACACCAGCCTT